ACAGTACAAGAGAGGAAAACCCTGGAAAAGATGGATTGACTCAGTGACTGGGGTAATGAGAATACGTGTGTCAGAGACAATGAGATTGGCATGGGATAAAGCAGGATTTAGAGCTTGTAGTACATAGGGTTGCTATGAGTTGCAAGCAACTTAACAGTACTTAAAACAACAACAACAATAAATACTAATACAGGTGAAGGGAAAGACAAAATGGAACACAAGGACGACCTGCCACCGTGAATGTTATAACGAATGTTATGGAACAAAATGTACATGAATGATTGAAAAATAATATACATTGTAAACTTTCACTCACAACACAATTTAAAAAAAAATGTAAACTCAATTATTTTTCAACCAGGGGATACAATATTTAATTAGATAGTACTGTAAATTGAGAAGAAGGAAAGCTCCACACAAAGATCACTGCTAGGGCCAGATTCAAAGCAGAGGTAGAAGAACCAAAGCAGGAATTGGCTACACTGAGCATTTCCAATGCTGCTTCAGACCCGCATCTCCCTTCCAGACTTCCTCACCTCACACTATCTAAATGATAACAAGTTTTCGCAACTCCTCTAAAAAACAAGAACCTGCAAATGTTTCCAAGATGAGGTATCCTGGTGGATTAAGCTCTGGATGGCTAACTGAAGAGGTCAGTGCTTCAAACCAACCCAAAGCCACTCCTTGGGAGAAAGATGAGGCAACCTTCAATCTCCACAGGTCAGCTCCACTCTGTCCTGTGGGGTTATTATGAATATATCCTCCACCCTTCCAAGCATGATGTCCTTCTCCAAAGACTGGTCTCTCCTGGCAACATGCCCAAAGTACATTAGCCAGAGCTTAACCATACTGGCCACTATGGAGCAGCCCTGTTCACCCTCTCCAGGACAGACCTGTTTGGTCTCTCGGCAGTCCACGGTATGTCCAATGCTCTTCTCCAGCACCACAAATCAAAGGCATCGATTCTTCTTCTGTCATCCTTAGTCATTGTTCAGCTCTGTGATGCGTAACAAGTAAGTTTGAAGACCATGCCCTAGATCAGGCACGCCCCAGCTCTCTGATGCATAATAAGTAATTATGAAGGCCATGGCCTGGTTCAGGCCCACCTTATTCTCTAGGCCAACACTGCCATCTTTTCGTGGTCTAGAGAGGTCCAGAGTAGAACTGCCCTATCGGGCTCCTAAAGCTATACATCATTATGAAAGCAGAAAGGGTCACCTTTCCTCCAGTGAGGAAGGCTGGTAGGTTCGAACCACTGACTGTTTTTATTAGCAGCCTAGCACTTACCCACTATGATAACAGAGCTCTATGGTCCTGCACAGCATTATTTACAATTGATGACATGTCACCACTGATCCTGTATTATGAGCACTGGCAAAGGAAAAAGCAAGAGAGGAATTCAAAGACCTGTTCAGAAGTCAGGGAGCAGAGAGCAAGAAAGGGCTGAGTTGAGTATACAGTCTGTGAAGAAGTAAGAGAACAAAACACAGCCTCACCTGCGGCCCAGTCTTTTCTCTGCTCTCTTCTCCCCACCTGACTAAAGGTGAACCAAACACCATCCCACATTTACTCAGCTCTGGTTCTAACAATAATCCCAGTACTTCCACTTTATGCAGTTGTGCTTATAAATCTTGCTTTAAGAATTGGAAAGAACCACATAGTCTATGTACAAAAACTTGATGAATTAATTATCTGGGCCCTCCTCACCCACAGTTTCTATTCTAGGCCAATGCTCGCAAAGCACTATCTGGTCATAATCATGAGGAGAGCTTGTTAAAAAGGTGGATTCCAGGGGAGTTCTGGTGGCCTAGTGGCAAGAAGCTGCAACTACAATCCCAGAGGTGCACGGTTCGAATCCACCAGATGGTCTGCCGGGGAAGGAGGGGCAATCTCCTCCTGTACCAGTCAGATCTGATTTGACGGTACATGCACACAAAAATAATAAAATAAAATTAAAAAATTTTAAAAAAAGGTGGATTCCCAGCTCTTACCCCAAACTACACAATCAGAAAAAGCTCAAAGGTAGAGTTTGAGACTATATTTCATACATCTTCTCCCAGTGATTCCTCTGCATGTCAATGTCTGAGTGGCATTGTTAACTAGTTCTTGGAAAACCTAGCTAGTGCAATACTGTTTAATGAGATTCTGCTCCAAGCACTAGTGAAATTTTCTCTTCATTTTGTAACAAGCTTTCTCTAAAGTAGTTCGCTTTGTCATCACAACCAAAATGTCTCTCATTATCTGGAGAAGAGTTCTCTACAAACAACATGTAAACATTCTCTAGCTCAATTTTCTAAACTTTTTCCTACTCCCTTGTTTTCAATGTGGGGCCTCCGTATCAATAATCTTACGAGGTACCTGGGCTGAACGTTAATTCTTTTTAGAAGCTTATTTTAATATGAATGGAGGGGAAAAAATATAACTACAATATCTGAACACATTATTTCATGAATACTGAAGCCTAAGCAAAGGCTAAATGGAAAAATAAAACAAATAAAATTGCTTTCAAAATATTAAATAAATAACAGCACAGGTCAGATAAAATTCCACAAAAATAAAACAGACTAAATTTGGAAAGCCTTAGCCCTTACTAAGGTCCATTTCAACTATGCTTGTCAGTTTTCCAGCTCCAAGTACAGATTTTCATTACCTTCAAGTCTAGAACATCAGCTCCTTCCTAAGAAGAAAACAATCTAGGCCTTATCCAACATTGCAGGCCCAATTCAGCTTCTGCCCACATTCTCTCTCCTCTCCAAGTATATACCTTTTCTGAATGCTTTTAACGTCCTGGTGATGTTACCTAAATGTTTATATGAATCTGCTTAGTGCCATTTCCTGGTGAAATGGAAGATCCTTGAGAGAAACACCTCTTTCATCTCTGATTACCTACAGGGGGAGGTCCTCCAGGTTGGATCTGCGCACACAACAGAAGATACTCACATGTCTCCAATATGCAATTGGATTTAATGCTCAATAAAGTAAAATAAAAAGCATCCTGGAAACAGCACGTAAATCCATGGGAGAGGGAGAGAGAGTGGAGGGCTACTGGCCAGGTGGTGAGCACTGGCGGATGCAGGCCTTACTTCCAACCCTGCTTTTTGCTTGCCATATGGCCATGGGTACCTAGTTAGAGTCTCTGGGACTCAATTTCTGTACTTCTTAAACTTGCCTTTGGCCTAGAGGTCTAGAACTAAGTTCAGAATGATTTCAGAAACTAAATCTGGTATACCCAATATACACTTCAATAAGAGTGTTAAAGTATGGGGGTGGTGCCTTGACCCACCCAGGTTTTAGGTGGGTCACAGAATGCTCCGATTTCCAGACACTGGGACACTCTCATGCCAACCAAGATCATCTCTGTGGTAAAAGCAAACTTGTATCTATTCTGTCAACCCTCTGCATCTGCTAACACAGCAGAAGGCCCCATTTCCTCCCTCCCCAAAGAGGACAGATTTCTTCTTTCCCCGCTTATTCTATTGGGAGGAGAGGACAATAAAAGTTCAGATCCACAGGGTTTTATGGCAAAGACTGGCTCTGCAATCAGTTATCCCTTCAGCTTTCCAACAGACATAGCTAACATGAGTAAAGGACTCAAAGCCCAGGATATGTAGAAGGAAATAGGGAGAGTGGGAGACCCGTACTGGGAGCATGGTGAGGAGGGGAGGGGACTCTGAATGTAATGGAATAGAGCTGTGCTCTTCCAGGTTCCATTTAAGGTTTATCTGCTTCCCAGAGTGTTAGCCACAATTTTCTTAGGGAGTTACTAATGTGGCTTTTTGGAGCTTCCCAGTTAAGCACTGTAACCATGATCTCAAGCAGTCTCGCTGCATCATATCTGTGAGCATAAAGAGAACAGACTTGTCACATTTCCCCCTAAAACTCTTATCTCCTTGGGGGCAAAATAAACAAAATATGTTAAGGTCATATGCCAAGGTGATTTATATACAACCTCTAAAACCTGGAGACATTGATAGACACATGGATGTTCAGTATTTAGAAGGCAATATACTCTCCTCTCCTCCATGGGGACCTGTCCTCTCTTTGTAGAATCCAAAGGACCCCCCCCCTCAGACACACAGACTTTTCACAGAAATAACTAACTAACCACCTGAAAACAACAGAGTTACATTTCCAAACTCGCTATCTTCCCTCCAACGCCAGACAAGATGAGCTTGCTCCTCCAGGTGGAGGCATTGACTGGCACACTGTCCAACCCTTTTTCCAGTTCCCTAATATTCTGACAATGTAATCAATTCACTCAGCCTTTTTGTTAGAAATAATATCTCATTGCACAGGATATTGAAAACCAATACAAAGCAACAAAATAACGCTAAATAGGATACAAGGTCCTGGTTTCCAATTTCCCACAAGTAAAAAACCATTTTTATAAATGCAACATTCATGCTGGATGGGCTTGGGCAAAACAAGCTCTCCTGAGTTTCTGAGCTCCTAAAGGGACAACGTTTCCCCCACGATGTCAGAAGATGAACAAAACGTCATGTAAAAGAATAGAAACAAGCACGCTTCCTCTCCTGGTAGGAAAAATAAAGCAAATCCTCACTGCCATACGCAGGACAAAGCCAGGACGTGCAAGACGCCGTCAGTCTAAGGCTCCACGTGCCTCTCCAAGGACAGAGAGACTCACACCCACACACAATCCCACATGCCAGCCTACAGCGCTTCTACCCCCTACATAAGGTGCAGGGTCTTCAACCAGCCCACACTTCAGCACCAGTGACTCTCCTTAGCTCTTAAGCTCGCTACAGCACCCGCACGCCGGAGGGGCATAGTGGGCAAAGGGCATATGCTTTTCCAAACCCCCCCCCCCGTGTTCTTTGCCCCAACACCTCCTTCCTCACAACTGTGAAGTGCAGAGTGCCTCAGCAAAGAAACTGAGACTTGCACACACACATAAACCCCAGACAGCATTTGATTCCCCATTCCCCACGTATCCTAGGACCCCACAGCCGGGATCCTGACTAATAGGCATCAGGACTCACCCAGTCCTCGAAGTGGCGGCTCCCGTTCTGCAGCAGCTCCTCGAACTGGATGGTGCAGTTGGCCACGAAATCGTCGTAACCGATGGGGGCATCGTGGAAGACAGCCAGCTCAATTTTGCGTCCATTGCACACGTCGGTGACGAACTCGTCATGCCAGGCTGGGCTGTTGGTCTTCTGCTTGGTGGCTGTTTGGCCGATGCGCGAATCGTCCACATTTAGGGCAATGTAGGGGTCGAGAAGGAAAGTCTGGGGCCGGGGTCCCACCGCATGGCGCAGTGACCAAGCTGTGGGCTTCAAGCTCACGGCCTCACAAATTTTAATTTTAAGAAGGCCATTGAATACTACCATGGTCGGAAGAGGGAGTGGGGTCGGGGTCACTCCGTCCACCCCGAGGGCAGGAATGAAGAGCTCCTGGGGCCCCTCCTGCCCCACCCCACTGCCTACACCTTGGAGTGCTGAGCCCGGGCGCTGGCGATTTTCAGCGAGTGCATGTATTTCCTCGCCCGGCTCCTAACGGAAAACAGGGAGGGGGGAGAGCCGTAGGACGGCCGTGTTTGGCGCAAGTCTCTCCCCCCTACCACCAGCTGCACCTCCAGAAAAGACGAGCTGTCCACTCTGCTGCCAGCCGTGGGGCTGCCTCCACCTCGCCGGCTGTCTGGGTCCAGGCTGCAGAGAAGCAGGCGCCGTGCCCGGCACTTACCTGCCTTTCCGAAACATAATCCCCGGGCTATTTCGACTCCCGGAAGGGGGGCACACAGTGAGATGGGGCGGGGGCGCAGATTCAACCCGGATCCTCTTCGCACACCCAGTCCCTGCCTGTGGCCGCGCGGGGCGGGGGATGGACCAAGGGATGTTCAGTCTATCCGGAGGGATGCATGTCCAGAGGAAATGATCCTCAACAGAGACAAATTTTTAAATCCACAAGCCGCACACCCGGCCTCGCAGCCGCCAGTCAACAATCGGGAGAAGCCTGGAGCTTGGAATCTCACATCCGCGCAGGCTGCGGAGTCCAGCAGCCGCTGCTTGGGCTCCGGGCGCAGGCCAGCACCGGGGCGCAGCGCGGCGGCGGGGCCCGGGACTGCGACTCGGCGCGGCCCCACCTCCTCGGCGCCGGCGCCCGCCCGCCGCGCGCCCGCCTCCTCTCTCCGTCCGCTCGCTCGCCGCCGCCCGCTCGATCCTCTCCCCGGATCGGTGTGTGAGCAAGTCTCCCTCCCCTAATGCAGGAAATGCGCAAACGACGTCAGACTCTGTGTGTGTGTGTGTGTGTGTGTGTGTGTGTGTGTGTGTGTGTGTGTGTGTGTGTAAGAGAGAGATAGAGTGTAAAATAGTAATACCCAGCTCATAATATTGTTGTGAGGGGCATGATCTTCAATGTGTGTGTGTGTAAGAGAGAGACAGAGTGGTGTGAGAGTGAGTGTGGTGAGTGTGCTTGTGTGTGAGAGAAGACTCTGTGTGTGTGTGTGTGTGTGTGTGTGTGTGTGTGTGTATGCGCGCGCGCGCGCACTCGTGCTCGCGGCTCTGTTTAGGGAAATAGAAAGTTTTGCCGGTTGGGGGAGCAATTCGGCAAAAGTAAGCCAACAGAGAGAAGCTAAGAGCAGTGATTCTTCCCAGATCGCTTTAGCTGAAGAGGGAACTGGGCCGAGATCCCGCGTAGGACCCCTCGCAATTACAGGGTTGGAGGAGGAGGGCAGAGGAAGAGGTGAGGAAGTACGAGCGCCGAGGCTGATAAACACAGTCTAGACCCCCGGACCAGACGATGGGGCATCTCACGCAGTCTGTAGGTGTAAGCTTATCTTTTCTAGCTACAGGGTGGGGAGCAAGACGGGAAAGTAGGGGTCACGTTTCCTGATAAATTTTGGGCGCCTCCCCCAGTCCCACCCCTCGCGGGGCAGTGGCCCACAGAGCTGCCCAAGGAGTATTGGTCTGTCTGTCTGTCATTCTGTTCTAAGCTACGCTGCCGTGCGGAGTGGTGGGGGTGGGGAGGACATTGTAGGCTCGGTATATATTTCTTAAATGCATTCTTTTCATTTGTTTCTTTGACACCATTCTCCACTTTAGGATTGTCCTGCTCTGATTCCAAGTCTCTTGTTGACAAATAAAAGCTTGGTGGAATCCTGATGTGTTTGTTTTTTACAAAGTTAAGCTTCACATTGACACTGGACCTTGTCCGCGCAGGGCTTCAGCTTTGATCAGTACGCTAATGGTGTCTGACCAGGCGGTGGACAACGAGGCGCGCCCTCCGGGAGGAGAGAGGCTGTGTCCATGCTAATTTCCTCCATAACCTTTAAACTCTGCAGAGAGCCCCGGCGGTGGCTGATCACGTGAGGAGAGCCCTGGCTGCTGGGGAAGAATGTCCTCCGCTGGGATCCAGGACCTAGGCGGCAGTCGGGCAGGGACAGCCCTGCGCCCGAGACGGGAACCTGAGAAGGCGGGGCTAAGAGGCGTGACCCGGGCTGGACGCTGAGAAGAGCCTGGGAGCCTGGGATTGTGCAAATGAAAAGGAAAACCCCGCCCTCCCATGTCTGAAAAGGCTTGTCTGGGAGGTAGTAGTACCGTGGTAATCGTGGAAAAAGGAGCGTTTGCCTAGTGGTTTCCGTTCGTGTAGATCAAAAGCTTAAACTTGTGCCCCTCGTCGCTTTTTGTGAGTGGAAAGGCCTACTATTGCCTGCTTAAAGATTTTTTTTTTTTTTGATGGCGAAGACACTTTAAGTAGAAGATACTCTCTACTAAAGCCGTGCAAGGCTAGTGGAGAACTACCCAAACTTCTCGGGGAGATTTAAAAGGTATTTCTGTTGAATGAACCAAGTAGGTACCAGTAGTATCAAAGTGCAGTGTGTGTTTAGAAACAACTAAGACTGTTCACATGTAAAAAGTCAACATTTATGAGGTGGATTGATTCCGTGACTGGGGTAATCGAGATGGGTGTATCGGAGACAGTGCGATTGGCACAGGACAGAGCAGAGTTTAGAGCTGTTGTGCATAGGGTTGCTATGAGTCGCAAGCGACTCGACGGCACATAACAACGACAACAACACCTTACATAGACACCCCAACCAGCAGAGGTTATTTATTCATTCATTCATTCATTTTATCAATTTGGTTTGACTAAGCATATGTGAGATAGCTCATTGCTATTTAATTTTTGTTTGATGACTTGGACTTTTCCTTCATCCATAGTTCTATTATTTTTATTAAACTTTCTTCCCCCTCATGGGCCATGACTGTGTAACTATGGTGAAAGACAATGACAAATAGGACCTAATAGTCTAAAACTAAATTTAAGAAACCCAGCCAGGATTAAAGAGCAAGATGAGGCACTTAACCTGGGCAAAAGGTGAAGAGTACCAATAAACTCAATAGGAAGCTCTGGTGGATTAGAGGTAAGACGTTGCAATGCCAACCCAAAGGCAGGTGGCTCAAATCCGCCAGCTGCACTTCTGGAGAAAATGGACAATCTCCTCCCATGGGATTTGCTGCCTCTCAAAACCTCCTAGAGGGTCAAACTATGAGACAGTTCTGACTCAAGAGTATACAACAAAAATAATAAATGCAATAATCAAGATGCACAATATTTCAAAACTATTTTAAAATAATATTAATGTTAAAAATCCCACACGAACAAACTATCACAATCCTAGTCTTTTTAATTTTTTTATTTTTAATTTTTATTTATTT